CTTCAGAGACCTGCAGAATCTTATGAGTACTGTGTAAGATTGTAAATGCATATGTTTTATTTATTAAGTTTGTTTGAGTATTACTAGTAATTTCCTTTTACTTTACTGTGAAACTAATGAATCATACTAGTAAAATGTATATTTGGTGTTGTAATAATATCCTTCTTTAATCATTACTGTCTACATTTGTCTACATTTGTATATGTGTTAAGCATTCAGCAATAGCTGATTTGTGTCTTTGGATTGAAGCTTTGCATTGATTGTATGTTGTAATATTAATAATATTATTTGTTTTTGCTAGATTGCTTCATTCTGAGATCAATAAGGTTTTATACTAACATATATTTGTTGTATAGATGTTATATCTGGCTGTAGGCAGCTTGCTATGTGTCTAGGTACATCATATATGTATTATATTATGAATGTATTGTCTGTTCATATTGCTTTGTGTTATTGTTTATATTTATGTATTAATTTATTAATATTGTGTTCTGTAATGAATTGTTTCTGACACATCCTGAGTAACTATGCAATCTGTTGCATTATTTCTTCAATAGCTAACATAATTATCTGTCATAAATTGTTACTAACGTGTGTTTGTATTATTTATTATAATATTATTGTGAATTGTTGCAATTGTGATGTCATGAATATTTATGAGTATTATGGCTATTGTTCTTTGCTTTTTCTTTTGCAAAGAATAGTACATTGTAACACAATCTGTATATAAGTAATATATTGGATTATGTTTACTATAATTGTCTCCCAGCATACTTTAGTTAATCTAGTGCTATGCACAATTGTAGTATTTGTTTGACGTTTTATTTGTTAATTGGTTTGCTAGGTAAAACGTTTTATATATCAGTTTTATTTATTTTATTTGAATCATTGTATAGATATACTTATTAGTATCTATCCAATGTATTTCATAGTATTATAATACTGTTCATACTTGTATTAATTATGTGGTGAGGGCAAATTAATTGTTTGTACAAGAATCAATTTAATAGTTTTATTTAATTATATGTATGTGCTCCATACTTGTTTATATTGTTATTATCTGTGTGCCATTCAGTTGTAGTTACAAATTATATTGCAATTATATTTGTATTATTGTATGGATGTATTATTTATTGTTTTATGTACATTCTAAAGTATTATTTTCATTATTCATCACTTTTATCCATGAGCTATAGTCTGGATTGATGAATTATTTCATTATATAATATGATAATTGTCTGTATTTTATTTATTTTTGTATTAAACTTTGTTAAGTTAATTGAATTATTATATTAATATTATTTGCTAAGTATGAGCATTCATTTCATAGTGGAATTATTATTTATTTAACATTGAAGTTCAATTGTACATTATGTTGACTTCTGTTATTTGTTCCAATCAATGTTATTTTGTGTTGTACTGAATGATTTACCTTTGTGATCCGTTATGTCTGTCTGTAACTTCTATTACTTATTGTTTTTTAGGATCAGCAATAAGATTGACATTTCTACATCATGAATATTCATTTGTTTATCTACAGTTTTGTGTCATGAACATTTGCACATTTGCTACAAAGAACACTTTGGGAATATGTGCCATTTCTAGGCTTTATTATTATTAATTTATTAATTATCTGTTCAAATAGCTTTTAGAAGTATTGAAAATGTTATGTAATGTATAATTTTTTATATTCTTTAATAAGGTATTTTGTGTTTGACAGATTGGTTGGGTTCATGTTTTGCATTCAACAGATTGGTCAGATTCATCACAGATTTCACTTAGTAACATAGTCAATATGTCTACATTAAGAATTCAATGTTTATTATTAGTGTGTATATTGTTCAATCACTCCCCTTCAATTCAAGAAGGTTATTCTTTGAGTAATTGACAAGTAGTGTAAGTACATAAGTACATTATTGATTTCCTTTCATGTATTTGTAATCCAACAAGTAGTGTTAGTACTTTGTTATTTTACTTTTGTGTGTTTGTTAGTATGTGTTACAATGTAACAGTATACTTTAAGTTAACTTGTAATGTTTGACATACATCATTTTGTTTAAACATTATACTGTAACATTGTGCCATTTGTTTTATAAATTTTAATACAATGTTTGTTATATGTCTGTAACATTTATATTAATTGTAAATGGACAGTTTGTCTGTTATCATTCTCTAGCATAATTCTGGGCATTCTGCTGCATTTACAGTTATAATGTCAGTTGCACATCTATTCATATCTTTGATAGGATGTAATAGATATGCTTGTGTCTGCTTTTCTTTATATATTATACTGTTTGAGATAATGCCTTAAACGTTTTATTAATTTATTTAATCATATTATATTATGATTGTTTTTGTTTGTAATCATTATAATAAGTGTGTCTGTCATAGTTTTTCTTTTATTTGTTGTACTAGCTGTATTAGTAGTACTTCACTTGTATATAAGCTTTGTAGCTTTAATATAAGTTTATTTATGCTTTGTTAAAGTATATCTATGTTCTGTACAATTAAATATGTTCTGTTACATTGTTTTAGTAATAGTAGAGGTATTATTCTACTGTTTGCCATTATTTTACATTGTTATTATATGTTTACACTATCATAGGTGTAAGGTATTGTTATTTGTTTATTAACTATAATTGTGTACTTGTTCCTATACTGTAGTTACTGTAATGTGCTTTGTAACTTTATTATTATTATTTATTAATTGGTCTGTAGATAGTTGTACACTTTCATAAACTGTATTAGTGCATAGATATTGAATGTCTTAGATATTGGATGTATATCTGCTAACTTCTTTAACTCATATCTGACATGTCTAACATATCTGAGACATGTCTTACATTAATTGTTTGGCTGTGATATTACTATATATGTTATTATTTGATTTATGTTATAACATATGTACATTCATTGACAATGTCAATCATTTGTACTATTGTAATATTAATAGCAGATGAGTAGTGTTTGCTTTCTCAATCTTTATAATGTTTGTCTGTAGTATGATCAGTTATTTATAATAACATGATTTCTGTAATATTATAGAATATTTTTAGTGATTAAATGTTACAGTAAGTGATACTCATCATAGCTTTAACACTGTCTACACAGATCAAGTTATTACTAGGCCAATGATCATAATTACTAAGATGATAATCATATAATGTCTGAGTCATGTATAGTACAGTAGATTGTATGTCCACAGTATATCAATTTGTGTTTAGAATACTCAGACAGGTGTGTTGAGTTCTGTATCATAGTATACTGTGTGTGTGTATGTGATCTGTAAAACTACATAGAGTATAGACATAGTAGAGTGTAGATAAAGTATAGGCAGGGAGTGCAAGGCTCATAACCTATTGAGAGAGGTTATACTTAGAGGGAATCACACAGTATAGGGGTTTAGTGGACTCTGCTCTCATTCATTGTAGGTGTCATTTGTTGTGATCATCCTTGTCCATTAATTCAGTAGGTATATATAATATGTAGCTATGTCTTAGGTACATCTGTTGCTTATATGTGTCATTCTATGTTAACATGTTTATTCTAGACTATAGTCAAGTCAAAATAGTGTAACAGGTAGTGTAGAATTTGAGAGTATTACTACTATTATTATTAGGTGTGTTTTACTCAAGTCTTAGAGTTAAGCCCTTTATATATCTTTTGTTGGTTCTCTACAAATTTAGTTGCTCATAAAACAGAACTTATTTGCTAATCATGTAGATAAGAACATAGTATCATTTGTAAAAAAAGGTTTTGTCTTGAATTTTTTCTAGTAAGATAAGAAGAATATTATTATAGATTATAATCTCTCAAGTTACACATGACTTGTAATACATATAAAAGGGTGATTATTAGATATTTAGGAGTTTATCTTTGTACTTTGTTCTATGTACTAAGGTTGACCTCTTCAATCCCAGGTCTTTTGCCTGTTTTGCCTCCTTGAGTAAGACTCTAGCCTTTTACAAATTTAGTATTACTCTGTTAACAGTAGCACCTGACATTTTAGTTGCTTCTCAAATGATACATAATACATGTACAGAAGATTATTGTCACATGTATTCTCTACTATATTGTTTTCTCTTAAAAACCAATATTCTAATAAATGATGGACTCAATGACTCTCACAAACCAAGCAGGGATGTCCAAATTTAGTATCTATAACCAAATCAAGGAATTATGTAAATTCTATGGATCAATAATTCTTTGCTTGTCAAGGTGTCAACAATAGGATGACCTGCAATCAACTGCATTCTTCAACCTTCACCTTCTACAACAATCAGTTTTTTGTGCTTTACCGGAACTAGCTTTGAAAAGCAGGATCCTCACCATACCTGGAGATGATTCACAGCATAGATTGCTGAATGATGCCTGAGTACCGGCGTTCTCGGAGATCAATCCAGTCGATTGAAATTTGCACAAAGCTGTAAAGTATTCACCATCACCATTCAGCGCTTGCTCTGTTCGGTTCTGTCTCAGCACACTGCAGCCTGCTCAACGACCGGCAGATGACGGAGACCTCCTTCGCCTCAAAGCTATGGATAGCGCGCTTCCTTTGACTGAATTTCGCCACATCAGACAAACTGAGCCGAGTTACAGTCAGTTAACACGCGCTAAACGCTAACACAGTAATTTTAGCCAGAAATACTTCCGTTTCATGCCTCTGACAGACCCGTGTCGGGGAAGCACGTCCCTACTTCACCACAAGAGGCAGAGTCTCTCTAAAAGGATTGCATTCGCATTGAAATCCGGACTTGAGCCCTCACTACCCACATTCTCCTTTTCCTGGGAGCTGGTTCTTCATTTTTTGGTGTATGTGACTTTGGCTCTTTATCTCCTGCTCTGTATTCTATTCCTGATATGTCCTGCAGGTTGACTGCCATCTCCCTTCATCCGACCTTTCACTTTCATTTGCCGTTCCATTGCTCCGCACCTTTAAGTATCAACAATTGACCTTTGACTTTAGTAAGCCTCTTCTGCATTATGTAAATTGGCAGGTAATGACCAATAACAGACCGACTGTCAACATGGGAGGAAATAACCAGGGGGTAAATGATAATTCAGATGGTGGTTCTCAGGTTCTCAGCTCGTATGTTCCATGTTGTTAAGGCATTTTAACTTATTCTTGAGCAGATAAACGACAATGATCCACAAGTCATATACAGTGGCATATGGGCCCAGATCCAGTTTACGGATCCACAGAATCTTCCAGAGACATTTCACTCCACCGGAGACAGTGGCTCAAGTATATCTGTGGAATTCAATGGTAGTTTCGTTCATCCGGTTCATTGAATTGAACCTGACAATCCTTTAAGGCAGTCGGATTAGAGTCACAGGCATAGTTCCGCCAGGTCAGGATAACATAACTGCCAAGTATTCAATCGATGGCGGCCACCCAGTCATGAGTCCAGTACCTATTATCTCACAAAGCACCCCATTATTGTACCAGCAATTCTTTATGTCCCAGAATCTATCCGACGGACTTCACAATATCACCATTGACGTCGTGGAAACAGGCCCTAGCCGGAATTACTCCTTTCAATCTTTACAAGTCTTCTCGGATATAGATAAGGATGGTTCAAGAAGCAATGATCCCGTCGGGCATGGCATAAACGCTGCGGCCATTGTTGGTGGCATATTAGGGACTGTCATATTTTTGCTTTTGTGCCTTCTCGGGGCATTCTACGCTTGGAAAAGGAGAGGGTTAGCTCGAACGTCTGGCAACGGCCAAGACTGGCTGTCGTACATGCCGTACCACGCCCGGTCTGTATCTGAGGGAAGCCTGAGAGGTGTGATTTTACAGTGACGTGCGTGGATTACTGATACGATATACGGTTATCAGAGAAAGCATATTACACGCCTGAAGCTTCTGTGATCGACACAGATTCAAAATTCACTTTCGCGAGGCATGGAGGTACATCCACTAATCCTACGCGATCATGGGTGTCAGTCGACATGCCGCCGAGTGTGCCGCAGAGCGCCGTTGTCAACAATCACATTTCTGGCTGGTCATCTTACAAAGGCTCAAGTGTGCTCGTCGATCAACCACAAGTCGAACGGTCGCGATTCTCGCCTTACACTACGACAACGTTTTCTCCTATGGCCTTCAGGGAATCGACCCTGCTCCCTGAAGTGAGTCGTTCGGTAGGAAGGGTTGAGACGCTGGCATCCTCCGAGGCGCCTGGTCCTTATGAAAGCCGCAAGTTGTAGTTTCTCGAGAGTATCTCCTGGAGCCTAGGGTGCTTATGTGAGTCGGTCGATATTAACTGGAGATCTCCCGCGTTACTGCGTGCCACAATCGAATCTGATGCGTCTAGGAGCATTGCCGTTTGTGAGCCATAACAACAGTTAGCAGGTACAAATTAAATTTACAATCCCCTATGATGTCAATAAGATGCTTTTTGCGTTAGGCAAACCTCATTCCTTAACCGAGAAGGTGCACGTGACTCGTTCCTGTCACTTTCATCAATCACAAAGCTCAAACATTTTCTTGTGATCGTTTGCATTATTCCATCTGTACTTTGATTTCTGCCTATGGAAATAAGTCTGTTCACCTTTCTTACGAAGGATTACTACATATCAGTGTCCCTAAGAAGCCGGTTGCCCATTTCTCTCGTTATACTCCTTGCCGTCGTTGCCGAGTCCTGGGCCTTCGTCTTGCCGATTTAGAGATCGATAAACTACAAAAAATTGTGTCATTGTGAGTACCAAGGCAGAAAAGACGGATCTTCAAGGTTGTAGTACCTCACTAATCATTGCTTCCAGACATAATAAGAGATTCGAGGTGAGAATTATCACGAACCCTCCCAGTACTTGACTATTGGACGCATCCGAACAACTGGGCCGTGGAAGAATCTCTCACCTGATGAAATGCTCCGCAACGAGACAATGTAGTAACGTTTTGCTGATACTGTAGTAACCCGCCCATCTTTACGATGTTGACACAAACACGACAAGTGGATCGTTGCCACCGTTTCTATTCAAGGACATCAGGCCGTCTATTGATATTGTTACTCGGATGGTTCTGAGCTGTGCAAGTGTGAGACTCAAGAGATCTTTTGTTGCTCTAAAAGGTTGGTAGTACTTTCAGGTTCATATTGTGTTTCGTTGTCGTCATTGCTGCCATTTGTCTCGCTCTGGTAAACTGGTCCTGTCTTGGCGTATGTCCACTAACGATACTTGCTTTTTCCTCAACCGGTTGACCTGGCATTCTTCATAGATTAACTGCCTTCTTCATTTCGGCCCTTCAAACGTTGTCTATTCTATTTAATATAAGCAATTATCCATTGACGGTAGTTGGTCCCTCCTCGTTTAATCCAGATAAAACATGATGACTAATAAGTAATGACAGAAAAGGGTGCCAAACCATGGCAATCACAAGCTTTCAGGGCACTCAGGTTCTTGCCCGTGCTCTCTAATGGAACAACAAATCATTCTGATCTTTGTTTTCTAAGCACATAAACGACACGGATTCTAGCGTTCAATATACTGGCCAATGGGTCTTGAACCAGTTTACGGATCAAAATGGCCACCAACAGACATATCATTCAACTGCACAGAATGGTTCGACAATATTTGCTCCCTTCTACGGTCTGTATTTATCCATAAAATTGCATACAGTCGATACTTATCACTTATTGGCTTGTGTAGGCAATCAGATTAAAGTCATGGGCATCACTCCTACGGGTCAGGGATCATTAACTGCAAATTATTCCATTGACGGTGGCCAACCATCCATGGCTTCCATGCCCATTATCACACAGAGCAGCCCGTTATTCTTCCAACAAGTCTTTCTTTCTCCAAATACGACACTGGGCAATCACAATATCACTATCACTGTCCTAGAGACTGGCACCGACCGAAACTTCTCCTTCCAATCGCTCACCGTCTCGCAAGGCGATGTTTCAAGTATCACTCATCACCATAGCGAAGATAGGAACGAACATGGCACAAATGTTACGGCAATCGTTGTTGGAGTGTTAGGAACTGTTATATTCCTTCTTTTTATTGCTCTCGTCCTATTTTACTTATCCCGGAGAAGGCTTCTTGCACAAGTATCGATCTACAAAGAAGAAAAAATCCGGAAAAATACTCTTGAATCGCAACGGAACACATCAGGTACGCTTGAGTCAGCGCTTCCTCTCTCGGGTATGCATCTTCTTGTTTACGTGGCAATAAATCGATAACTCACTTAAAACAGAAGCACATATCAATCCCTTTATTTTGCCACAGAGAGATCCAGTAGATACTATAATAGAACAAGGAGGATCGCGACGGTCCGCCACTACAGTGGGTGGAACATCACTGCCTCCTTACTCGAGTTTCCGAATTCCGTCGGGGGACCTTTCGCAAGCGCAGAATGCACATTTGACGACAAGAGCCTCGTATGCAAGCTCGGGGGAAGTTATCAGTAACCGTTCAGTTAACGAAAACCCTTTTGAAACAGACCAGAAGCTGTAGGAACTTGGGTCAGGAGGTGATTAGAATATTCATGGCTAATTGTCTCGCATCCAGCTTCCTAGTCATCGACCTTGCGCGTGGAATTCTGACTGAACTGATCTCGTCCGTTCGGACCCTCGTACTTTGTGTATCCATTTATACCACATTAACAAATCGTGATCCATTCTAGAAAATCCATTCAAGTTCATATTGGACAGACTTTAGGCATTCCCTACCAACTGACCGGTTGCTGCTACTTGAGATGACAATAATGAACCAGGCAGCAGTCTATTAAAAATCCGAGCAGCATCACGCTCCCGTGCTCATCCTTCTCGATCGTGTCGACCTGGAATTGTGTATTAGTAAGTGCGAGGGATGGCACAGGGAAATGCATGTATGTACACTGTACCAAAATTTATAATTGCTACAGTAAACACCAGTCCCGCGAGCTGCGGAGGGAATGGTAGTAATTACTATATCAGCTATTCCAGTGGCTGCTAATCGGGCATAACAACAACTTGCTCAGGGACGCTTCACCTAGCGTTGGACCTTTATTAATCTTCTGTTGGTTGCTCACGGGTGTAACTTGCATATGCGCTAGGACTACCGATCTTTTTCGATAAGGTTCTGGAGTCGCTTTCGATAGCCACACCTTCGGATGCAAAGATTTATTTTGACGTTGATTCATAGGACGACGGATCCTTGGTTATTGTTGCATACTCGGTATTGGCTGATTTGGCTCTGTCAAGGGCACAGGCCCACAGGGCACCAATTATTTGTTCTTTTTGCTGCGTACCTGGATAGTGACTCAGATAATCTATACAAGTGTACTCAGCTCATCTCAATTAAAGATAGTATTGTTCAAGAGAACGAACGACACGGCTGGCGACACTCATAGAGTCATACGATGAGTCAGAAGTCAGAACTAGAACATCCAAATTCAGCAATGTGATGTATTACCTAATCAATATCAACAACTTTTTGCCACGTCGCGTCGCGGGTTCACGTATCGTAACGGATTTGCTGAGGTTGACCCGCAATGGCCGAACTCCATCCTTCAACACATATCCTCTACGACGATCGGAATTCTCGTGCCTTTTGTCGAGTTAGGGACTTACTGTGAAGAGCAGTATTTCACCACGGCCCAGAGATGATCAAAGACCATAGAATGATATATGATCCACAACGCTTCTGGAGAGCAACCTGGTTGATTTAAATCTGCAGGAAGCTGTTCCGGTACCCACCATCACCATTCCATTCTTCGTTGTGTCCGGCACCGTCTCTGTTCACTGCAGCTTACCCGATAACCAGTAGATGGTTGATACTTTCCCCACCTCAAAGCTGTTGAATAGTGCGCTTCCTTTTCACTGACATTCAGGCCAGAAGGCGAGTCGATTCGAGCTATGTTCACTTGGCCACTTTGTCGGATCCAAGTGCTATTAATGTAGCACCCTCGGTCGGTGTGTTCTTTGTTGCATGCGTCTGATCGCCCTGTGGCAAGGAGACGCGATGCAATCTTACCATGGTAGAGACACTCTAAAAAGGCTGCATGCAATTTGGGAACCGAATTTCTCCCTTGCGCCCTCTCCTGTTTCCTGAAAGCCGGCTCTTTGTTTATTTTCTTTGGCGTATGTGACCTTTCAGTCGCTCCAACCCCATCGACTAACATCTTACAGATTGACTGCCTTTTTCTTTCATTTAAATTTCCTACTCTCATTCGGTTGTTCCATTTTTTCAACAAACTCAGCAGGCAACCATTAAGATCGGTAAGTTCTGATCTGCACTGTCTGAGCTGATTGATGACGATTAGCATTGACTAGGTGCCACGATGGGATGTAAACATCTGGGATTAGGGGATGAAGATTGTTTTGTACGTATTCTCGTATACTCTATCCTAGTGATTCATGTTGACTTGTAGTTGCTTAGAATATATTCGACCAGGACCCTCAAATTCAATATAACGGCCAATGGGTCCTAAATCAGTTTACGGATCAAGGTGCCCAATCGTCTCACTCAACTGGACAGAATGGTTCCAGCATATCCGTACCATTTTACGGTTCGTCTTCAATATGTAGATTACATTTGTATGTGAACTAGACAACATCCTGTAGGGAATCAAATTAAAGTCTCAGGTATAATTCCGACGGGCCAAGGTCAACTGGTTGCGAATTATTCCATTGATGATGGTCCACCATCCACGAGTCAACTGTCTGTTATCTCGCAAAGCACTCCATTACTGTTCCAGCAGTTTTTCATGTCTCCGAATCTGACGCTGGACAATCACACGATTACTATCACCGTTCTACAGACTGGTTTCGACAGGAACTATACCTTCGAAATGTTCACAGTCTGGCCAGATACGATGGATGACAGCACTTCGGATAAGAGTACTCAGCAAGGTGCTTCGGACAACGGTAGTCAACAAGACACAGATGGGACTGGACGTGGCAAAAACACTGCGGCAATTGTTGGTGGAGTGCTGGGAACCGTCATATTTTTGTCCTTATGTCTTCTAGGGGTGTTCTACTTTTGGAAGAGGAGAAGACTCGCCAAGATGTCCAGCGATGGCCAACAGCGTTTGCCACCCATGATGTATTACACCCGACCTTTATCTGAACGGGATTTTCAAGGTGGGACTTCACCACGATGTATCCGGACTGCTGATACGAACCGTGGTTATTAGAGAAAGCTGATTACACAGCTGAAGCTTCTGTGATCGACACAGATTCAAAATTCACGTTCACCAGGCACAAGGGAGGATCTACCAATCATACGCGATCATGGGTGTCAGTCAACATGCCTCCCAGTGTACCGCAGAGCGCTGTCATCAATAATCACGTTTCCGGCTGGTCATCTTACAAAGGATCAAGTGTCATTGTCGAGCAACCCCAAGTTGAACGGTCGCATTTCTCACCTTACACCGCCACCACGTTCTCTCCTTCGGGCTTCAGGGAACACAAGCCGCTTCCCGGAACGAGACGCTCGGCAGGGGTTCCCCCTAGGATCGAGACACTGACTACATCCTCTGAGTCGCTGGGCCCTTACGAAAACCGCAGATTGTAGTTTCTCCAAGGATATTATCAAAGACTGGGACTGCTTGTGTGAGCTGGTCATTATTGACTATATATTTGCCTCTTAAAAATAGTATATCAAAATACGTTTCTAAGGGCCAAAACCAATTCTGGTGTGCTGGGACCATTCGATAATAAGAGTTTCATGTAAGAACACACAGAAATCTTCCGGTCACCATTCGGTTAATGAAAGTGCTTTCGGACTAGACGAGAGGCTGTAGGAACTCAGGTTAGAGTATTCATGGTTGCCTGTCTCGCAGTCCACCCTCTGACTCGGCGAACTTATACGTGAGATTCAGTCGGACTATCCTTGATTGCTCGGACCATCGGATTCATAAAATTATTTATGCCTCGACAATTTTGTCTTTCACTCCGGACACTATTCAATAATGCTTGTTAGTCAAGTCTATAATGGAGGAATGTAGTTACCACCTGATGAGTCATCGCAGCTTGAGATTATGGGCTTGACGCAGGATCCATATTTTTGAGAGCATGAATAGCGACTGATGACCATGGCCGAGTCCAGATTGTAAGAAAAAGTTAGTGTGAACCGTTGGAATATATCATACACTCAGAGTATTTAAATTGCCACAACAAGTCCCAGAGCTGCAAGCTCAGGAGAACATAAACATTATTTTTCGGATTCGTTATATTTGTAGCTGCCATTTGATGGTAGCTATGTCCTAGTTATCTTGGGGAGCTTCACCTGGATGCAAAATCTAATATATGTTTAGCCGTAGGTCACCTATTCACCCCGTCAATCTTATCGTTCTGATAGGACCTTGATATTATAACCAGTAGTCACATACTCCGAATGCAAAGAGTTAATTTGTTTTGAAGTTGGGTCACAGGGTGACCAGATATTATTACTCCGTGTACCTTTGTGGACTCAGACTCGGATTTAGCTCTGCCAAGGCGACGATTGGCAGCGTCTTTTGTTTCTCGAATGATTTTCACTGCATACTCGGAAGACAGCCCGAGTAATCAAGACGCATACATGTCTGCTCGATTTATCTCTATCATAAATTATTAGTATAGTGAACCATCGACCTGGAGACTGTTATCTCATGCATCACTTCACGGTTCCATTTTGGGTGAACGCAAATACAACATATAAAGAAAGAAAAACTGTGGGTCGTCCAAATTTAGCGTTCACATCAAACATAGTCTATCTACGTAATCGACCGGATTTAGCCGTATATCGGCAACTCACTCTACGTTCAACTTCGACTCGTTCACTTGTGTTATATCCATTGGCAGTCGGTGCAGAGGCTCCAATAAATCTCATCTGTAGACTGACCCGCGATGACCGAACTGCATCTCATCTCGGACACGTTATAAACGTCAGAACTCTCGTACCTTTCTGACTGGTCAGGAAGAGCGAGATTTCACCACGACCAGGAGATGATCAAAGACCGCTGAGTGATATCTGATCTACAGCGTTCTCAGAGAGCAACCGGCTTAATTAAATCTGCACGAAGCTGTTCTGGTGCCCACCATCACTATTCAATTCTATGTCCTGTTCGGCAGTGTCTCGGTTCACTGCAGTTTACTCGACGACCACCAGATGGTTGATACTTGTTCCATTCCAAAGCTGTTGGGTACCACGCTTCCTTGCACTGAATTCCGCCACATCAGGCAAATCGAGTCGAGTTGCGTCCACCTGACCAACGCTGGAACCAGTTGCTAGTGCGGCATTCTTTGTCAATGACATCGCTGTTGCGTGCATCTGACAGTTCCTTGGCAAGGAAACCTGATCCAACTTTTCCACGGTACACAGAGAAGCACTAAAAGGGCTGCGTGTGCTTCAGGAGCCGAATTTGCGCCCTCGCCACCTCTACCGCTCCCTGAAAGCTGGTTTTTCATTCACATTCTTTGGCGTGCGTGGCTTTCACGACGCTTCAGCTCTCCGAGTCTAACATATCTTATAGATTGACTGCCTTTTCCTTTCATTTGAAAATTCCCACTTTCATTCGATCATCTCGTTCGTTCAAATTTTAACGACTGTTCTTTCAGATTGGTGGGTCCATTCTTGCACCCGTAAGTCGACAGACAGTGATTTGTGTAGAATAGGTGTCAGTATGGGAAGTGGTGATGGAAGTAGCCAGGGAGGAAACGGGAATTCTGGTACACAGGTTCGATACTTGTCTTTTGTGCTCCGTTTTGTCAAAACATATTGACCTTATTTGTTAAGCATATATATGACACGGATTCTAGCGTTCAATATACTGGCCAATGGGTCTTGAACCAGTTTACGGATCAAAATGGCCACCAACAGACATATCATTCAACTGCACAGAATGGTTCGACAATATTTGCTCCCTTCTACGGTCTGTATTTATCCATAAAATTGCATACAGTCGATACTTATCGCTTATTGGCTTGTGTAGGCAATCAGATTAAAGTCATGGGCATCACTCCTACGGGTCAGGGATCATTAACTGCAAATTATTCTATTGACGGTGGCCAACCATCCATGGCTTCCATACCTACTATCACACAGAGCAGCCCGTTATTCTTTCAACAAGCTTTTCTTTCTCCAAATACGACGCTGGGCAATCACAATATCACTATCACCGTTCTTGAGACTGGCTCTGGCCGAAACTTCTCCTTCCAATGGTTCACTGTCAACTCAGGTATGAAGGATATCAATGATTCAAGCGACAATCATCACCATAATGGGCATGGGGATGGACATGGTACACATACAGCGGCAATTGTTGGTGGCGTGCTAGGGGCTGTCATATTTTTGCTTTTCTGTATTCTTGGCGCGTTCTACTTTTGGCGAAGGAGAAGGTTAGCTCAAATGTCTAGCAACGGCCAAAATCGTCTCCCACCTATGATTTACTATGCCCGGCCCATATCTGACGGAAGTTTGAGAGGTACGACCTTGCAGTGTCGCACCTAGCTACTACTGATGCAAACTGTATTTGTTAGAGAAAGCTGATTATATGCCTGAAGACTCTGTGATCGACACAGGTTCAAAGTTCACTTTCGCAAGGCACGGAGGTACATCCACCAATCCTGCAAGATCATGGCTATCAGTCGATATGCCACCCACTGTGCCGAGAAGCGCTGTCGTCAACGATCGCATCTCTGACTGGTCGTCTTACAAGGGCTCAAGTGTCATTGTCGAGCAACCAAAAATTGAGCGGTCGCGTTTCTCACCTTACACCACGACAACATTTACTCCCATGGCCTTCAGGGAACCAACCCCGCTTCCCGGAACGAGACGCTCCGCAGGGATTCCTTCCAAGATTGAGACGCTGACTATGTCGTCCTCTGAGTCGCTGGGTCCTTACGAGAGCCGCAGGTTTTAGTTTACCGGTCTACGGGACTTCATTTGCTTATGGACATATCTTCCCGTGAATAATTCTATCTTTGTATCGTTATTTCTTGTTGCGTTTTTGTTGATATCTCGTGTGAAGTGTTGCCTGGGTCATTAGTTTAGCACACCCGTATATACCCGTTGTAAGTTCTCTGTCAGAAGATGTACATGAGTCAGATTGTGTCCAGCTGCATGATCAAAAAGGGTTTGAGCTTCTGTTTGGATCGTGAAGAAGTGGTCTGAGCATACATGTATTATCCCTGATTCCGTCTTTAAGGTGTTTATTTCATTGACAGAGCGGCACGGCGAACGGCATGGCAGTGTGAGAATATGACACTTTATAATAAACTAATGATCGACGGCTAGGTCTCCAGCAACGCATGGCACGACCTAGATATCTTTCATCATGTATCACATTCAACATGAAACACGTCCGTCTGTGGCGCTGATACGGCAGGAACCAGTGTGTGGAATCATTCGATTGCGCTTGTTGGTCATTGGGGACGCTAGTGCTACTGCATAATGGACGAGGCAAGGTTGAGGGCTCAGGCAAAATAATTGGGGAGAAGAAAGCTCATCTGGATTAGTTGAATAGACTCCGAGCTTCCGCTTCAGACATGAACCTTGAGTGCCTGCGAGTGGCAGAGACGCTGAGACATAGAGATTGCCGGACGTTTTCATTTGCAGTCGTCAAAATTTGTTGGTATCTTTCCACCGTCGCCTACCGCGGGTGCGTGATGCAGGAATGCAGCTATATTTGCATGGACATATGTTGAGCGGATATAAAGGGTGTCCGACGGAGCAGCACAGGCTCCAAAGCTACAATTTCGTTAGCCCGCTGTTTTCGCCCCCTCGCTGCTGATTACTCTTTAAGCGCTTCTGCCGGGCTGCAGAGGAAGGATTTACCCCATTGATAACCCCATTTTACTAGTCTACATATTTTACATATCCGCGCAAATCGATCGCCCAGGGCCATAATGACTCGCGTTCTAATCCCGGTCTGGTCCGCAGACGGCGTACAAAAGCTCAAGGTTGCTCCCCAACGTACGCATCCCACTTTTCTGCACTCTCTCGCCCATCATGGAACAGATTATGAACCGTTTGCATGCCCTTGACTCGCACCTTTCAGCTCCGGCGAAGCCTGCGAGAGGCATGACACCTCCTGCACTCAACGGCTCCGTCCATGTTGTCCGATGCCTTGCCCAGCTGCGCTCGAAGGACAAACCTATCGAAAAATACATCTACCTGGCACAGCTGAAGCAGACAGATGAACATATGTTCTATCACCTCTGCGTTGACAACATGACTGTATGTATCCTCAGTTTTTGTTTCGAAACATTTTTGACTTATCGCGTGCAGGAAATAACCCCGCTGATCTACACTCCTACCGTCGGCGATGCCTGCATCCAATTCTCACACATTTATCGTAGACCGGAAGGAATCGTGAGTGAAGTCGGCTTCCTCATTACGCTTCGACTTACTTTCAATTGTCAGTTCGTCTCGATCGAAGACAGAGGCAATATTCGCAGTATACTCAACAGTTGGCCGCGGAAGGAGGAAGCCCGCATTTCCGTGGTCACTGACGGTATGGGAAAGCTCCTTCCAACTGTGCTTCTTCTTGCTCACCTTCTGTGAAGGTTCGCGAATTCTTGGTCTCGGGGACCTTGGCGTGAATGGCATGCCTATTTCCGTCGGCAAACTTTCCCTTTATGTCGCCGGTGCCGGGTAGGTTTACACCATTTCCCCACACTGGCGCCGTTCATTAACCATAAACATACAGAATCCGGCCTTCCTCAACTATTCCGATCTGCCTGGACCTCGGAACTAACAACGAAAAATTCCTTGATGATCCGCTCTACCTCGGCATGCGGCGCCGCCGCGTGTCGGATGAGGAGATGTCGGAGTTTATGGAAGAGTTCATGTATGAGATGCACAGGGCGTTCCCCAAGCTCCTCGTGCAGTTCGAGGTTTGTCGCCGTGGCCATCGGAGGTGAAACTTGCACTGACCTCAGTCGCTAGGACTTCTCAACGGATAATGCTTTCAAGTACCTGGATGCCTTCCGAGACCGTTACCCGGTATTCAACGATGACATTCAGGGCACCGGTGCTGTTGTACTTTCTGGTTTCGTCAACGCGGCGAAGCTTGCTTCGGCGGCCGCTGGGACTCCGCTGCAAGACCAACGCATCCTATTCTTGGGTGCTGGTTCTGCGGGCGTTGGTGTTGCAATGCAGCTCATGAGTTTCTTCACGCTCCTCGGAATGAGCAAGGAGGAGGCTCGTCGTCGCATTTGGTTGGTCGACTCGCAAGGTCTGATCTACAATGAGCGAGGATCTTTGGCGGAGCACAAGAAGTGTAAGTTTAGCTCCACCGCATATACTCAGCTTACTGAGACATTCTTGTAGACTTCTCGCGTGACGACTACTCTGGCCCTCCGCTGAAGAATTTGGTTGACATCATTGAGTATATCCGACCTACCGCTTTGCTTGGTCTCTCGACTATAAATGTATGCAGCCGTCTTTTCGTTGCTGGACTCATCAAAGCTGACAAATATTTCAACAGGGTGCATTCAACAAGGAAGTCGTTGAGACTATGTCAAGGATCAACGCACGCCCGATTATCTTCCCTCTCTCCAACCCAGTCAGGCTTTCAGAATGCCAGTTCGATGAGGCTGTTGAATGGTCGGATGGACGCGTCGTCTTCGCCTCCGGTTCGCCGTTCCCACAATTAAACTACAAGGGGAAGGACTACTACCCCGGACAAGGAAATAACATGTACATCTTCCCTGGTATGTCTCGTACCCCATTGATGCTGATCCAGGGACTTCTGACTGACTTTCATGTGATTGATAACCAGGTCTGGGACTCGGAGCTATCCTCTCCCGTGCTGCGAAGGTTTCGGATAGAATGGTCGAAGCGGCTTCTCTGGCTCTCGCTGACTCCCTCACGGAAGAAGAGCGGTCTCTTGACATGGTATATCCGCGCGTTGAACGGATTCGTGAAATCAGCGTGCATATTGCTGTGCGTGTCATCCGCACGGCACAAAAAGACGTGAGTTCTTTCTATCCACTCATGCTATTGGCAACAACCATTGACGCTTCGTGATAGGGCACGGACCAATCCGTTTACCTCCGCTCGAAGAATGACGAAGAGCTCTTTGCATATGTCAAGAGCAAGATGTGGAACCCTCAGATCTAAAAGTACCAATGTTACCTTGTGATACACCTTTTCTATGATTCGGCCTGCTACTCATGTCGAAAGTATTGATAGACCTCAGCTCTTATGGCTCCTTTAGTGACTGTTGTGTAACGATGTTGTATGGCTTTACAATAATAGATGTTTACCTTATCCTTACCAGTGCCGTTGTATAAGTGGTTATGAATGGCTTCTCTTGTGTGCAGGAGATGGTCTGTTGTACATACATGTTCTACCCAAGAAAGTAAAAGTCATAAATGGCGAAAAGGAAGAGGAATGGATGAACAAAGAGAGACAACAGAAACGTAAGAGAAAGGAAATATGACGAACGTGTCGAGATGTGTGAGCCAATGAGAAATTGGGAATTACATAAGCTCTGGAAAATTCGGCACTTGGTGACGTTCCTTCTTGCCGTGCTGTCTTCACCGACGTTCAGTTCTTTACCTCTAACCACCATCATGCCTGTGAGTTGCAGTTCAACTTTCGGGCTGAAGGGCAGACAACTTATATCTCTTTGACTTACAGCGCCAGTCTCGTTCACGTCCAGCTGCACGTTCCGCTCCTGCACCCGTTGCGGGTCAATCGCGCTCGCACACAACTGCAGCGGCACCGGCTGCAGGTTACGGGCGTGCACCAGTCGCTCCGCCTGCACCCCCGGCAGCAGCGGCGGCACCACCTGCGCGTGAACCGGGTATGTTTGCGCAAATGGCGGCAAACATGGGCTCTGTTGCTGCAGGTTCCGTCATCGGTCATGGCATTTCTCGCGCTATTTTTGGTGGAGGAGAGGCTGCTGCTGCACCCGCTCCGGAACAAGCTGCTCCAGCTGCTCCTGCGCAGCAGGCATCGTCTGGTATTAGCTGTGACGTTCAGGCAAAGAGTACGTTTTGAGGTTTTTTTTACACGTCTTTCTTCGGTTTTAATGGATTTTCAATTGGCTTCTAGGCTTTACCCAGTGCTTGGAAAAGGCGGACTTGCCGAGCTGCACTTGGTACCTTGAGCAGCTCAAGGCAGTGAGTCACTGTTTCACTATTTTGATTATTTGCTCGTTGATCTCTTTGCTCTAGTGCCAAGCGGCTGCTGCACCTTACTGAGCTCTTTCCAAATTTGCATGTTACATAGACAACTAGTTCCGGATGGAATTTACATTTGGCATAATGATATTCACATGCTTAAATCTGGTCTTGTGGGCTTCTAGGAAACTAACTATCTGAGGTGGTCGTGCAATCACGCGGAAATGCTCTCTGGAAGATGTTGTATCGAAGTGTCACTTCCAATCCGACTTTTCCCGATCTTCTGTGTGTCGTATGGAATGGAATGAATCTTCACCGTGGCTTTCCCGTGTCTCGTGAATGTTGTGATTCTGCGCTAGTGGTCAACGACAATGTTTTGCTGGAGGTCCTCTTTATTTGCCGCGAGATTAACAGCCGAGGCGACATCTCGATTGTTCTACGTCTCTCAATAACCTCGCAAGTTCTCTGTCTACCCGATACAAGCAGTATGTAAAGACCGAGGACCTTGAGAATGCCATCTGCCCTCAAGCTTTGACCTGAAGGCCATCCTGATCGTTCTACATCTCTCGTTGACCTTGCAAATACTCTATATTCTCGGTACCAACAGCATGGAAGGACTGAGGATCTTGAGGATGCCATCCAGCTGCAACAAGCCGCTCTTGAGCTTCACCCTGAAGGCCATCCCAATCGATCTATATCTCTCAATAACCTCGCACATTGTCTGTCTATCCGGTATGAACAGCGGGGAAGGAGTGAGGATCTTGGGAATGTCATCGAGTTGCAACAAGCCGCCTTTGAGCTTTACCATGAAGGCCATCCTAATCGTTCTACGTCTCTCAATAACCTCGCAAGTTCTCTGTCTACCCGGTACGAGCAACGCGGAAAGACTGAGGATCTTGAGAATGCCATCGAGTTGCACCGAGCCGCCCTCAAGCTTCGCCCTGAAGGCCATCCCGATCATTCTGTGTCACTCAGGAAACACTGTCTTTATACGCTCAAATCGAGGAACGATGGAACATGGATGAGTTTGAAGACTGTATGTAATTACTGGAGTTCGCAGCTGTTCATAAATTCTCAGGTTTGTTGGAGTGCCTTCTTGCCGCGCGCCAATGGGCAGACCTTGCACGATCACACGACCATGGCACCAGTATTAAGGCTTACAAGGAAATAATATCGGTTATTCAGTATTCTCTCACCGTTAGTCCAACTCTCTGCGAACCATATGATTTCCTTACCAGGAGAAACGTCCGTGGAACATGGACCTTGGAGGCAGCTTCCTGCGCAATTGAGAAGAATGAATTGGAACATGCTATAGAGATACTTGAGCAAGGGAGGGGCTTACTTTGGTCACAGCTGCACGGGTTTAGCGCTCCCTTGGTTCAGCTTGCAGAAACGAATGAAGAACTCGCTAACAAGTTTAGGAATGTCAGTCGCTTGCTAGAGAACCTCACAACATCACATGAGGGATTAAGGTCTAATTCTGCTATGGGTAACAGTGGGTTACTTGGGCTAACCGTTAAGACTGGAGGGGAGTCATTCGACGAGCTATTGAGGATGAAGAGACGATTTTTGAGAGAGCAAGAGGAGATTGTTAACGAGATCCGTCGAAAACCGGGATTCGAAAACTTCCTTCAGGGTACGCCGTTTGAGGTATTGCAGCAGACCGCTTCAGAAGGTCCGGTAATTGTAGTTAATCACTGCAAATATCGTTCCGATGCACTTATTGTCCTCTCCCGGAAGGATCAACCAGTTGTCTGTGCGGAGTTAGACAGCAAACTGTATCAAGATGCCACCAAAGTGTGCAAAAAGCTCCTGAGGTGCCGTAGGCGAGATACAGCTGCATCGTCCAAATATGACAAAAGGCTTCGCAAAGCAATGAGTTTCCAAATGCCGGGTTCGCATTCCTATCTGCCTGCCATAGTGCCGAACTGTTTCATTCTGGTGCGTACGACGAAGCACATCATTTGTCAGCAGCTATGCAGTTTAGTGGGTTCCGGAGCGTAATTGGAACTATGTGGGAGCTATATGATGAAGACGGGCCATTATTTTCCAGAGTGGTTTATGAGTACATGATCGAATGTGAGGGCGATGAACCAATGTATAAGAGGGCATCTGCAGGCCTTCGGAAAGCGGCTATTGAGTTGAGAGCGCAAGAAGGGATTCCGAGCGAGCGATGGGTTAATTTCGTGCATATAGGTGCTCGAATGATGCCGTATTGGACTGTACAATATGTACTTTACTGGTATTGTCTATCTGATGCTTGTAATGTGTTCGGATTTTATTGCGCCAAGAGGGTTTGCACATAGATGTCTGAACGAGAGACGATCCAACAATCGTCGAGTAACGCATCAGGGTGTGGCTGGGACAGATGTTCGGAAATTATGCACGAGGACGAAGCTGAGGCCAAGAAGCATAAAGTTGATATTATAGCTATATGGACAATTGAGATGAAAGGTCTGAGTAGAGCAGGCTTTCTCTTGTGTATCAAAGAATCTGGAGGACTAACGTTGTTAAATTCACTGGCTTGAGAAACTGAGCAACTAATGAGCTGCAAGTATCATTGTTCTGATCTCTCTCAACGCATGTAAGATCTGAAGACAGAAATCTAGATTACTACAGTGTATCAAGAGCAAAATAGACATACTGTACTTGTTTGCCTAAGCGATTTCCGACAATATTCTAGTATCACATAAAATCATGGAAATTTTAGACCCTTCAGTTGCTTCGGTACTGGAAGTGCTATCGAACCCTACTGGAAGGTCAGAAGGGAGGAAAGGGACTTCTGACAAGCGTCGTTAAGTTCCTTCGGCGAATGGCATTCTGACTTCTTTTGGTACATAATAATGCACACTTGTCAGGAAAAAAACCTTTTACGGGGTGTCAATGTAAGTCGGATAGCCTCCAGATTGTGCGACGCAGCCAAGCCGTATCTTCATTAGAAATCAGGCTAGGAAGTTCTGGACAAAAGAATGGAGTTGTGATTAACTTATAATATCGGGCTGGAGGCGCACAATTTCTTTTAATGGCAGGCGCTTTTATGACATAAGCGCGGACGGCATTAATCCGTCTCCTCAAAAAGTTGCTGAGCTGGCAGTCAACTTGCACTTTGTACACGTTCCTGTCGTCGTGTCGAGCTCGCCACTAAAGCCGGGCTTGACTATAAATATCGAGCGATGGAGCAACAGGCAAAAGCACCGAAGGACGTACGCAATGTCGTCAACTTCTTGCGGAGTAGCAAGGCGGGCATGAAGACACGCGTTGGCGTGCTGAATGGTAAACGAGTGGATTATTTCAAAGGTGTGTCTTACATGTATCATTCGCCGAGATTGTTTTAATATTGGTTTGTGATCATGTCAGGGAAAGCGGCTGTAAAGGCTGTATTATCACCAGCTTATGCTAAGCTCAAGAACGTACCGAAAGTCACAAACGAAACTGAAGCCACAAACCTCCTCAACTCAATCATCCCTTATGCTTTCTACCTTCGTGTGGATCGCGGGCAACCGGGGGCGCAGGGCGGAGGGGGAGGTGGAAATCCAAAACACCTCACTCTCAACCCCATGCAAATGTTCCGCGCCGAAGACCTCTATGCATGGTTCTACGAAGGTCCAATGTTAACTACGTATCTCGGTGGGCTTGCAATGGTGGCAGTCCTCCTTGCCGGTGTCATGTTCCCGCTCTGGCCGCCTATCCTGAGACTGGGCGTGTGGTACATTAGTATTGGTGTTTTGGGACTTATTGGGGTGTTCATCGCTATTGCGATCTTACGGCTTATTTTCTACATCATTACTGTTGTTGTTACACCGCCTGGGATATGGGTATTCCCCAAGTTATTCGCGGACGTTGGTGTTGTAAGTCAAATTCCGCTTAACTGTTGGTCGTTGAGGAACACTAGGAACTGACCCTCGTTTGACATGTGACTTGCTGTGCCACTAGATCGAATCATTCATTCCGTTTTACGAATGGGACTTACCCAAGAAAAAGAAATCACGCAAGCATCGCGAGGAGGAATCCGCGAAGAAGAAAGGTAAAGGAAAAGCGGGTGGGGATTCAGGTGCAAGCACGCCTGCACCCCAATCGCAAAATGGTGAAGGTGGCGCATATATTGAGGAAGTTGAAACATCGGGCGAGTCACGGCCTGTAAGCCGCACGGCACGGGTGGAGGACGCTCCTGAGGAAGATGATTAGGTTTCTTTCTCTGACCCGACTCTCACTTGTATCTACCGCTTCATGGAATATTCATCTTCGTTTTTCGGTACAATATTAATCAGATGGGATATTTCGGTGGTTTCCCTCGTTCTCTCTATTTGCATTTGATATGCTTGGTCACAATAGTATCCCCTCCGCATAATAATACACCATACACATGAGTTCTAATGGTCTACGCGTCTATTGTGAATTTGTTTGACTCTCTGGATCGTTGGTCTGCGCGGCAGTGTCAGTCGGCACTTTGTTTTTCTGCGACGCTTCCCGTGTGTTCTTTTCAATTGTCCGTTGGAGTCGACGAACATTTTCTAAAGCCTCCTGCATCATCTCCCGTGATCCGTGTGAGCGCAATGCCATGTAAGAAAGAGAGAAACTGCGCAAGGCTTGTTCCAACTGGCCGTCCTCCTACAATACAAGCATCAATCGTTAAGCAAACTTATCGTGATAGAAGAAGACCAGCAATTATGGTAATTGTGGTAGGGACGACAGACCTCATAGTAAACTCCTGCATTGAACAGAATTGCTGGATACGTCTGATCACACAGCGCAATTTCCGAGTCAGCAGCGATACCATCGTCCCTTGCCTGTCCACGTCCATGCTTACGCACAGCTGCATCGTAGATTGAAATAGCGCGTTTCATTACGCGAGGTAGGTCGCGTTGGGCTGCTTCACTTTCTGGATGTGAGCGTCGTACATCCATAAGAAGCGCCATGTGGGCATTCTCAATCTGCAAGGCCTGGCAGAGCTCTGTGACGCTTGATGATGTGATTTGCTTGCGATCGTTAGACGGTGTTGTATTTGGTTGCGCGCGGACAAGGAGGGAGGAGGCGACTCTGTAGAGAAGGATCGCATTTCTGAATTAAAGGGGAAAGAAGATAAAATGGTACTTAGTATTGGATAGATTACGCAGTAAGCTTCGGACAACTATACTCACCTTACCTCTCCTCGTCTAGCATAAAATGCACCAAGCCGCTCCATAGGTGCTGCAAGCTCGCTCTTTGTCAGAGACACCCATGATGGAAGTCCCAGTTCACCGTCTGGAGTATCCGGACTCAAGATATCGCGCACACCTTTTTCATGTTCAGTCTGCTTGTCAGAGGAGGATACCGCTGCGTCCGAACGGTTATGTACGAAACCATTTCGAACATCATGTGTGATGCCGTACTCAATACGGAGAACACGCAGGACTTCCGCAACTGCGAAGCAGAGCCATCGTTCTTCCTCTTCCGGGCGTGAGAGAACTTCAGCCAGGTCACCGAGCTTGAGCGCGATAGCTGCAGCTCGTTTGCGAGACCGCGAACCCATTTTAGACTTGTTCAATCCGAGCCGCTTCGTGTCGAGGAAGTAAGAGAGAGGGCGTCGAGCGATCGTAGGCTTTGACCTGAGAGGCTCGGAAGATGGTAAAGTCGATTCGTCCTTCGAAGAGCTTGGAGTATCTGTAGAAGGGGCTGACGGATTCGGTTCGGCAGGTATAGGCTTCTCAAACCTCTCAAAAATATTGAGAGATGCTTTCAGCATGTCGTATGCCTGTTCGAGTTGTTGATCGGCTTCTAGGACTTCTGCGAGGATAACGGCGACGCCCGACAGTTTCAGGTATGCATCCGGAGCAAGAGCCTCTTGTGACAAGGATTGTATTGTCATCCATGCCCTAAAAGAGAAAAACAGAAAGAATGTGAATATAAAAAAGACTGCATTAAGATAATCTAGTGGCCAAGTTCTTTTTACCTCGTCAAATGCCTCTGAGCGAGTTTCAAGTCTCCTCTATTTTTGGCCTTCAGGCCAGCGCGGAGATCACCTCGCAATTCCATTGGCCACATCGTTAGTGTCATGTAAAATTCATACCTATATCCGACCTCAGTTAATTAGTGGAATTCCAAGGCAGATGTGCTGAGTTCATGACATACAGACCCCAAGCTGTTGCGCCGACACCAAAAACTAGCAGAGTCCCAAGTACATGGGACACTTTTATTGGAGACTCTGAGGCTATACGACCAGTACTGAATGTACGTCGACTCGTCCATCCCGGCTTTGAGCGTGTCCGATATTCAAAGTGCGTAGTCGAAGTATGGCATGTCTTCAGCCTATAATGTTTCGGAATGGGAAGAGAATTGCTTTTTACAAGGTGCACAGGGCAGATATGTATCCCTCTAGGCAGCATAACCTCCGTTATTGACGTTTTGGTAGCAGGGTTCGAGAGAGCAGAGACAGAACTTGAAGCGTTGCACGTCACTCGGAGGCTCAAATCTGCCCAAAGCAACAACGGATAGACGTAATAAAAGTGCATCACGTGACTCAATTAATGGCAGACGCCGATCATTGCCTCTTGTCATGCATTGACATGCAACCATAAGGACGTGTTCGCAGTTCCGATGTCTTCATGACAATGATATCCTCGACGCGTGTCTTAGCGACTGCTCTTAGATCCCATCCGCGAAGAGCTGTTTCCCGCGTGAAGGCGAAGGTTCCGACAGCTCAATCCATTCGTTACTGGAGCACCTCTCCGAATTTACCCTTTGGATCGTCACACCGTCCCTTGCAGTCGTTGAATGTTTCTGCGCAGGAGACCCGACAAATACCGCAGAAATGCAACCCGTGTGGTAATTATAAGGGATATACCACAGCATCCCCAAGTCGAACGCGTAGATTTGTCGGATTCATAGGGAAAATCGCGTTAGTCGGTGGTGTCGTATTGTCTGTTGTGTTTGCTGCAGAGCTTTGGTCCGTGTACGTGCCATTCATAATGTAATTTCACGTTGACTGATAATAGTTTATAGCCTGCACCCGCCTCGACTAAGTAAATGGCCGAAACAGCTCCAGAAACCTTTAGGGATTGCTACGATTTTAATTGAGACCCAGACGAAGGAAGATTTAGTAGATCACCTTGCGGAGTATGCTTACTCTTCTTAACCCTCATTTCTATTAATTGAACTATTTTTTATGAAATGGTTTGTGACTATTACAGAGCTTGGAATATCATTCTAAACATCCCTCGGGAGGATCTCAAACCAGATCCTCATGTCAAGATACTCAGTGTTGCAATCTTGTACGCCGACGCACTGGAAAAGGATAACCAGGCTGTCAAAGCGTACAAGATTCTGAACGATGCTTTGAATATTCTCAAAGAGTGCGCTCAGCAGGGCGATTCATCCGGAAACTCAGTACACGCGCCCATTGACCCTAGTGTTGTTACAGAGAGGCGCTTACTCATTTCCATCTTACTAAAATTGACAAGCTTGTCGGAAAGCTGTCAGATAGGTTCAGAAGGGAAATGGTTAGCACAAGCAATCCGCGAGACTTTCGCATTGTTTCCGTTCTGTGAAACAATTCACAAAAATGCTTTTATTGAAGTGGCCGCGGACTTCGAGACTCTTTCGAAGTACGAACCGTCGTTCTCCGGCCTTGCATCTGAAGTTGACCGGCAATACAAAATACTGCCAGATCAACCTTTGGAATCAAATTCAGCTGAGCGTAACTCCGATACTGGACCTGATATTTCGGAAGACGAAATTATTAGTCAAAATGACGGCCTGGCTGTACCACTACCGAGAAGGTGGGCCCTCATGGATGTGTCATCGGCTATCTCTAGCACGTTCGAGCATACAGGTCGGTATGCTGAGAAACACGGAGAAAACCAGTAAGTGAAGTCGCTATTTATGCTACATGTGTGACGCTGGATCAGAACCTGATATCGCTCAGAATCGCACTATACACATACAACGCGGCTGCTGCAGTAATTCTCGCTATGCTTCCCAAAGCAGACATGGAACATTCTACGTTATCATTTTGGGAAGGGCTCATCCGAGCCCTTCGGCTCGCGAATAATAGAACAGACATCGTTCTGCGTCGGCTGGAGGCAGAGACACATCCCACGGAATGGCTCTACTTACTTCTCGAGATGACCAAGGAAAACATAGCTGCAGAAAAGTTCCTGAGTAGAACAATCGAGATTATAAACGAGAAAGGCGGCACCGCGGAATGGCAGCCACTAATAAAGCAAATTTTTGAACAAATACTGGAGCATACGGTCGATGGTGCCACTTGTTTAAGGTATAAGGCTATTCGAATGCAGGTGAGCAAAGAAATTTACAAGTTACCTCGATTTTTCTAAATCGAATAAAACCTTTGGTACTGTCTGGCATAGAAACTTGGTCTATTGCAAGAAGCCATGGCATGTCTGCAGATGTCCTTATTACTATTAAAGCAGGCCGAACCACTCGAGGATCAGAAGAAACAGGCTGGAGAGTTGAAGAAGGTAGAGGATTGTATGCAAGAGCTGCAGAAAAGCATAGCTGGAGACAGGAACTCAATCAGGGCACAGATGAATCCGTCAGCCTTGAAGGAATGGGAGGAAATGGAACGTGCGAGGGCACAACCTGCTGAAGAAGCAAAACAATCGGAAGAGCCTTGAATGTTTGGATTCGACAGTTATTTTCGGCTTTAATGATAACACGCAGCTTTATTTACGGCAAGTTGGATGATAGCTGATTCCATGAGTACGAGTTAAACACTACTGCACGTCTGCACATCAGCAAGCATGCCAATCATGACAGCGAACTGTGTTTCTAAATTTTCTGGATCATAATCATTGTGATGTGGACGCAGGTCGACTTATATACTTAGAACAAACCTTGATCTAATCTAAAAGGATCATGGGCGCTAGTTCCTCATGGAACGCTTGTATTCAAGGCAGCGTCGCATTACTCTGCATTTAACTAATCGGAAGTATAGACGAAGTGAGCATAGATCACAAATGTCTGGCGGCTACGAGCGGATCAGAAATTTTGGGGTCATTTCAGACAGAATGGCGAGTTCTGGGCAGGAAACGCGCTCTTATAGATCGGCACGAGGTCGATCTACGGCAGGATAAGACCATGCTAAGCTTGAAATGCCTCACTAGATGGATCCCGTTTCTGGTCAAGCCCAAGGGTCTGTGCCTTGTCATTGATCCGGTGGCCCTGCGCCTAGAAATCTATTGAAGACCAAAACGAAGTCAAGAAGCGGACAGGAGCAGCGGTAGGCCTGGCGATCTACGCGTTTCCAAAATTGGATTTCAAGCTTTCCAGGATCGCGGTTTATCGACATCGATTCAATTGAAAACATCACAGATTCAAATCAACTTGTTTTCTCGGCATCGTCGGCACCAGTTTTCTCGGAACATCCGGCAAGTTGGTCTGCTTCTTGCATGGTCGTCATCCATTTTCATTAGTCTTTTTCTCATCCGGCCTCATCGCAAGGGTGCCTGCTTTCGACGTCCAGATGGAAAACAAGATGGAAGAGTCAAGAAGACTATCACGGGTCCCTTATGTGCGAACGCTATAAGACCATTATGAGTGCTAGACATCTCTTGTCTTGGCTGCTCGCGCCCCCACGTCTGTACTTAATTAGTCGCCACGGGCGTATTCAGAGGATCAAGCGTTAGACTGACCTCCTCCCGCCCTCACATTCATGGCTGTCGTTGCTCTTACCAGGAGTTCCGGAGGTCTTAGAGACGTCTATGGAAGGGGAATGAATATTCAGAGTGAAGTACGCGGTAATGGGAGCTGTTCGTTGGATGAGTGCCTGAATATGTTATCTCTCTTTCTCATCCGTGTAGGCATACTACCTTCCTGCGGATTCAGAAGAGCATGATGTGAGTAATGCCACAGTTCATTCCAACTGGGGACTTATGCTACATTATAAAACGTTTGCAGAGGCTTACGCTGCAGCACCGCATGTGGAAACTCATGTATGGAGGGTCAGGCTTCTACCCCCCAGAGGTGGAAGAAACCATGCAGAAGCTGCTTTCCCAAAGGCCTGGCGGAGAAGATGCGACTCCGCCATCTATTCTCGATTTAGGCTCCGGTTCTGGTATCTGGTCGGTTAATCGCTATATTCCTTCTCCACGGCGCCCTTCCTCCACATTGCGCAATGACGAACTGAATGGCTGAGAATCAAGATTTTATTTTTGATAGGGCAGCGGAGATGGCCGCGTTCTATCCGCATGCGAATGTGGTCGGATTAGATCTAACCGAGCCAAAGTTACGGTGAGTCTACTCTTCTGATAGTTTTTTGCTCCCGCGTTTCACTATAAGACCCTCTTGCTGAACGTAAGAATTTGCTAATGTGTATCCATTCGTGTTTATGAAGGAATTTGTTTCCGCCTAATTGCAGGTCAGCAGGATCATGTTCTTACGTTTGCCTGTCTTCCAAGGTGGAGTTAACTTTTTATTGACTTGCACCTGACCAGCTTCGTTATGGCCGATTTGACAAAAGGCCTAGACGACTACAGGGAATCATTTGATGTGGTGCATTGCCGCTGCGTAGCCGGACACGTACGTACTTGATACCAGTTCGCATTTTTCTATATTTATACTTAAACTCGTTTTTCAATTAGATCCTTAATAGAGCCCAGCTAATGCAAGAAATCGTAAAAGTCCTGAAACCAGGTGAGCCCCCCTTAGCATACAGGTTTCCGTCAGCTGACTCCCTGCAGGCGGGCTCCTCCTAATTGGTGACGCCAATGCTAAGCTGTTTAGTCCCGATGGATCAATTGTTGTGCCTGCTGCCTCCTCCAATACACAGTTCTTATCGAATAAACTCGGCAGTCCTAATGCGGAGCCAGGGGGTAGCTGGATGGCGCTCTGGTTCCAAGAAGTAATTGGTCGGCAGCTCGCTTCACACAATGATCCGGACTACTTGGGTGGCGAACACGTCGGAAATTTAGTACGCAAGGAGCCTACGTTGGAGTTTACTGGCAAACGTACATATTTAAGCCCCGTCCGCCCATGGAAACCCTTACGGCCTGATGATGGCGAAGATAGAAGGGAAGAATGTGAGCGTAGTGAGGGACTTGCACGGTTGACGGGTCGGAACATGCTCGTGAGCTCCCATAACTTAGAAATGCCCCGTATCATCCGCAGCTTCAACTATCTAACTTGCCTTGCAATTTTCTTTAGAACTTCCTGCCAGCAAGCAAGCCGTTCCTACTATCAAGTGGCATACCAGAGGAAATTGTCAACGATTGGTTTCAGCGTGCTCGTACAGAGGTCACAGACCCTTGTTCTAATGCGAACTGGGCAATACGATGGGACATGGCTTGGGCAACGAAGAGAAGTGACTAGTCAACGGCCGATGATAACCTTCGAGACTTCACTTATTTCTATTCATGACGGTATGATTGGTTCTCTTTACATGATACTTCAGAGATTTCGGATGTTGTCATATAGACTGGTACGATCAAATGCGCAATATTTCTTCAATAAACTTGATATATTCTCGAACCAATCAAGAGCAAAGGGAGCCCGAACGAGTCTTACTTTGAGAATCTAACATTGCGGGTCCAGAATATTGTTTTCACAACAATATTAATAATTTCCTCGACGTAGTGAAAATATGTCTTCCAAGTTCTGACTATATCAGGGGCAATGGATAAACATTACCCCCAAAAGACCAGGCTTCTCCATATGAACTTTGAAGTAGCGACGATTGCCAATTCCAGGCACGTGATGTTTTGTCCATGCTGACAACTTTGCTTTTGATAATGCCACATCAACAAATGGCCCAATATCAGCAAGTGATGTGAGTACAAGGCATATAGGTCATTAGAGACAGGCAAACTTGATCGAACAATAAGTACAATGGCTACCAACGTTATCGAGTAGTGTAGCTAACTTTGACTTGCAAACACTCGCGAATAAGCTCGTCAAGGACTCACAGAGCTAAACGGTATTCATCCTTTGTCCTTTTCATGTGCGAAGTCACTAATATGCCTTTCTCTCCGATTCTGCTTCAGAAAGTCTATCGAGTCGGCGATCAGGAATTCCTCTGCAAGCGGTAAGTCTGTCATCATAACGGCGTGTCGGGATACTCTTATCGAAACACTTCAAGACCTGATTTTCTCGCCCTTCGTTATTTCTTCCCACTCTCTCTAGGGTAAATCTCTTAGCTCGTTTCCTATCGGCATGAGGGGAGGACCTGTGACCGTGAAGACAACATTGAAGGAGGATTCCCAGAATTGGGAGCTTGTTCCCGCCAAGGATGAAGTACCAGCCTACTACATTTATACGGCACCAGTACAAACAAGTTATATAGATTGCCATCAGTATGCTGTTATTCGTCTATGCAACGGTCTTGAAGCTACAATCATTAGCGACGTCTATTTGGACATGTCGGCTGCTTGCATGGACGTCGCGACAGGATCGTTCAATGACCCAGTAAGTCAACTTAAACTCTCTTCCCTTACACCAGTGGTACATTCTTCGGAACATCACACCATTTCGCTGTGATGTTCCACCCTCAATAGCTGCTGCATGTCGCATCCAAAATGCTGCGGATCGGTTAAATATGACACCCGCCAATGACGTTACTTACTAGTTTCGCAGGAAGACATGGCCGGTGAAGCCCATTATTGCGAACACCTGTTGTTCATGGTAAGCCAAGTCTTTGGATCCATTCTTCTCTTTGTCTGTTCCCATGGCGCTAAGTTCTATGGCTATGCCTATAGGGCTCGAAGAAATATCCAGAGGAAAGCGCCTTTAAGGAGGTATGGTCTTGGGAAATTAATACCTCAGACGTCTCTCACTATAAGTATGTAGCACATTACCTTGAACCACGGCTACACCAATGCGGTGACGGGTGCCTCCAATACAGAATTTCACTTTGAAGTCGCTTCGGATGCCCTCGAGGGCGCGCTCGATCGCTTTTCCGCACTCTTTTACTGTCCACGTTTCCATAAAGACTCGGCTCTACGCGAGGTCGAGGCGATTGATTCCGAGTATTCAGAAGGGCTCCAAGATGATATTCGGAGATTAGGATATGTTGAAAATTCACTTGCCCATCCAGCACATCCTTTAAGAAAGTTCAACACCGGAAACAAGGACACGCTAATAGGGAAATTTCTCGCCTCGAAGGCATCACCCCTGTGTCATGGGTTTAACAAAGATGAAAACAGGCATATAAGCAGATCCCCAAGCAGAAACTCTGGTAGCGAGATTTCCGAGAGGAATGATAGCCCCTTTAGTCGAATCTCCTCGTTCAGGAAGCACGCGAGGGATGAGCAAGGTTCGTGGAGTATGAACGTCAGCGAGACTTCATTGAGAAGTGGTGGGAGCCATGTCAGTTTGCCTGCGAAGCAGTTAAGGGAGGATTGCCACGGCCATAGAAGATCTGTCAGTAATAGTACCGGTCGGAGCGCATATTCCCCAACCCAGACACCTTCAGACTCAGAAAGTAGTCATACTAGTAGGCAATTAAGCAGATCCCCGAGTAAAACGGACTTGCAAGCCATCGAAGAAGAAGCAAAGAAAGTAGCTGCCCTGAAGGCCCGAGAGCATTTGAAAAAGTGGTGGGAGAGGGAATATTATGCAGAGAGGATGAAGTTGGCAGTAGCTGGGAATGGTACGTTGCTTCACCATCACAGTCCATCTCAGTTCTGATCGCATCGGCCAGAACCTCCTCACAAGATGATCGATACGGTTGTGAGATTCTTTTCGCCGATAAAAAGCAGAGGACAATACCCGGCCGATATCTCCTCTGCTACGCAGCCATACGGGAAGGAAGAACTTGGGGTACGTTTTCTAGACTTGTGTTTGCATAGAACTCGGTCCTGAAATGGTCTATTATTCGTTAGAAAATCATTTATGTTAAGACAATTGAGAAAATGTATAGAATAAATATTGCCTTCCCCATCTCCTGGCAGTTATCTCAGTGGCGTGAAAAGCCGGTATACTACCTCGTTCATCTACTCGGTCATGAATGTCCGGGTTCGCTATATTCGTACTTAAAAAATAAGGGATGGCTTTTGAGACTAGTTGCCGGATGTGCGATCTACGGTCATGGAATCAGTCTGCTCAAGCTGACCTTCGACTTGACGAAAGAAGGATTGGGTGCGTCTTATTTTCTTGTTCCATGTTCACTGTCGATGATGTACGTATAGAGAACCATCGAGAAGTTATATTAACATGCTTCAAGTTCATCAACCTATTGTGCAAATCTCAGATCCCACGGTGGATACCGAGAGAGCGGGAGTGGATCGAAAGGCTGTCATTCATCTACGACCGGGAACCACAGGCACTTTTTTTGGTTAGGGACATTGTCGATTCGATGAAGTATCCAACACCGCGTGCTCTCCTCCTGAATGGACCTTTACTGCATTGGGAGTGGAATGAGAAGCTCGTCAGGCATACATCAGAGGATCTGGATGTTGAGAACTGTTACGTTATTGTAGCGGCTCGTAATCATGACCATATTCCGAAGGGAGAGACATGGCACAAGGAACGATGGTTTGGAGCCAAGTATGTAAAGAAACAGTTTGACGCTAAGTTCATTTGTGATGTAAGTATATACATAGGTATTTGGGCCATTCTCTCTCATCATCGTCTATGATTATCAGGCTCGCGAAGACAATGACATACCCGATCTTGCTTTGCCAGGACCAAATCCATTTATTCCTGAGAACACCGTCGTGTACGGCGTACACGTTTATAAACCAAAGCAACGCCCCACGCTCATTATGCGTACACCACACATGGAGGCCTGGTATAAGTTAGACGATCGATTCTTTGTACCAAAAGCTATTTTGCATATTGCAGGACGAACGTGAGTACGATCTCATTCGTTCTAGTTAGACTCTAGCTTACGCACTCCTTGACCCACGCCTTTCTTAATAGGCCAGCTGCTGGAGCTAATTCTCGAGCTATGATATTGACCCAAATGTTCGTAGATCTGGTAGAGGATGCGGTTCATGAATATGCGTTCTACGCAAACGTTGCCGGGCTGCGCTACAGCTTATTCAGTGCTACGTGCGGCTTTGAAATGAACTTTATTGGTTACACAGATAAATTACATGATCTAGTTCAGGTAGTTCTAGACAAGATGAAGCATCTTGACATTCGGAAGGATAGGTTGAAAGTTATGATTAAACAGGTGACGTTACGAATCATGTTTGGGCGATAAGACTGCATTTTGGGGCTAAACTGCATTCCACAGGAACGACGAGCTGTGAAGAATGATCGCCTCTTGAATCTTTGTGAACTCTCCGAGTCTCACATACTCTACCTTATTGAAGATGACTGTCTCAGCACGGAGGAGAGGTTGGAAGCGTTGAAAGGTTTGTTGTTAATCACTATATTCCACACCGTTATAGTAGCTTATATAGATGGAATAGATATTACGGTTGAGGAACTTTCCGAGCACGTAGAGGCACTACTGTCGGGACTGAACTTTGTAATTCTAGCTAATGGTAACTTAAGAAAGGGGGTGAGCCAGTCATTATTTATAATACAACTGCTATATATATGACCGTATAGGATGTCCTAGGGCTCACATTATTAGTCGAGAGAACGTTCGAAGCTAAAACCGTCCCAGAACATGAAGTCCCTAAGCTGCGTTCACGACTTCTTCCTGAAGGTACATGTCTTATGTCTTGAAAATAGGCATTTAGTGTTAGTTTTAATAGGATGCAATTATGTCTGGGATCAGCCTGTACCCAACCCTGAGGAGGCCAACTCAAGTGTATTGTATTACTGTCATGTTGGTAATAAGTCCGACAAACACGTCCAGGTTACATGCCACCTTCTCGCCCAAATCTTGACAGAGCCAGCATTTGGCATCCTTCGAACGAAACAACTGCTCGGATACTCGGTTTTCTCTCGTACAGTAACAGATGTTGAGTCAATTGGTTGGCAACTACTGATAGAGTCCGGAATCGACACAAGATATCTGGAGTCGCGTATTGATGCCTTCTTGATATATATGCGTAAGGTTATTCGGGCCATGTCCGACGAAATGTTCGAAAGTCATAAAAGATCACTCTGGAGACAGTGGACGGGAATACCTAAAGGTATTATGGGAGAGACAGAAAGATTCTGGTCCGCTATTCAGGATGGATACTATGATTTTAAAGAAAACAAGAAAAATGCAGAATTGCTCCCAAGTATAAAGTTGCGTGACGTGCGTACGATGTTCGAAAAGTTTTTCGATCCATCATCGGCAACACGCTCCAAAATTTCCATCCACATGAGATCTCAGTTACCACCTAAAGTCCCTAAGTACCCCGCTTCTCCAAATGTCAGTATAAAAGCATCTCAGAAATTCCTCCACTTGTTACACGAAGAGCACATCCCAGCAAGGAAAGACGAGTACAACTAGCAGTGCGACGTCGAACCGACTTTGCATGAAATGTACAAATACTTGAAGAAGACATGTTTTAGTGAATTGCTCAAAAGAAATGACCACAAAATTAATGACATGTTTCGACAGCTAGGGAATCTTGTAACAGACCATCCTGTAAAGCCTGCTCTGGAGGTCAAGTACGTTAAAGATGGTGCGGGGTTCAAGCGTAGTCTCGGCCGTTCTGGGATTGCAAAACCGGTTGAGACATTTGAAGAGGAGCACTAGTAGTTGTGCAACATTGTAGGGTCTTCGCCTCATGGCGTCAACGGTGTGGAGCGCGGCTAGCATTATACGAGTGATGTAAAGTAAATATTGCGAAGTAAAGGACGACAAGTTTATGTCATAACATTTTTTCTATTTGTCGCTTATATTATGGATACCCAAATTCGGTCTGTTGACCGTGGGAGACTAACAAAGTAACGTCTGTCGTGGGAATCGTTATTCTGACGCCAGAAAAACGTGGCACTGTTGCACGATTGCATGACACTAAAGTCTACCTTATCCGTGGGTCATTACCGGATTGTAGATTGGCAATTTGACATGATGTGACGAGTTCACCGTGCTCGGTTGGCCCTATGGTACTGTATACGTCTCGAGAGATATCATCAGATACGATTCATATACAGACTACAACGAGAACAAGACAAAATGAAAGGTCAGTTATTTTTCTTACGACTTGGACAATTGTTTCATTCTTTCCATTGCTCTCGTGATAGTCTCGTTTGCTGCATCATACCTCTCCTTCTTGTCGTTTTCAGGCTTCAGTTTAATGGCCTTTTCCTTATAAGCCTTCAGCTCATCTGCTGCTTGAATGAGAGTTCTGGAAAGCGCGGGATGATTCCAGTCGAGAGCTGGGCCAACATCGGACATTGCTATGTCCTTGACCTTGTCAATAGCGCTACGGAGCTCCTTCACTTCTTTACCATCGAATGTACTTATTTTGGTTGCCTGTGCTTCTGATAGCTCACATAACAGAGAGAATGCCTTTGCTGAAGAGGAAAGGAACCCTTTTCTGAATATCAGACAAGCTGTATAGATGAAATCATCCAAGTTCTCGTCTGCCTCCTTCAAACCTTTGTCAACTCGATCTAGTGACGGGTCGACCTCAAAATGATTTTCGCTTCTTATTCTTATTCTATAGTGCACTTTATTGACCTCTTCCATGACCTTGTGATACGCCTCCTCTTTGGTAGACCCAGAAATGCTCCCACAATGGTATTTAACCAGAGCAGACAATGCATGCGAGAATGGCCTGAGCACATCTTTCATGGCCTTGTCTACACATATATCTCTGTAAAGCGATCCTAGAGCTTTGTAAGCATCGGCACAGGCATCTTGAAATTTCTCGCGAGCGACGGTAAATGGACTTAGAGCAGCTCCCTGTGCTCGATTGTCAACACTTGATATACTTTCGCTGGTTCTTCTGTGTTTGTTACCAGAACTTGACATGCTTTCTTGTCCTGTGGCTGAGACTGATAATTGCTGTAGCAGGGAGGGTGGATAAAGCTCTCTTTCAGACGAGGCTATATAGATGTCATGGACACAGTTTGCAAATATCAAACAAGGATGACATGCATTCAGCTTTGTTTCAAATCGGCTGGAGCCGAAAGGCGCTTGCTGTATTGCACAGTCTGCAGTGTAATGATCACCCCTTTCATATATGATAAGCAAAGCAAATTGCACAGTAGCTCCCAATTTTTTGGATTGGCTCTGAAGGGCAGGCAATCAAACTATATGCAGTGAATTGTTTCAAACCAGGTTATTAGATTGTACTCTAGATTAGGAAATCCCCAATTGCCTTATGTAGTGTTACTGTACTTGGAATGTCTTGGACTATTGGACTTCATTATATAGTATATAAGGCAGACACTTGCTTCATGTCTTAATAAGAGAGAGTTTGGGGGCACTCTTACTATGCTTGTTAAAAGGTTATGAGCCTTAGTGCCTATTGAATGCCCCTACATACTTGCTCTTACAGAACACCTTTGCCTCCTGCTAGCACACCAAGCCCTAGACCTTCCCCTCCCACCAAACCCATTACAATGTTGTCTACAATGCATACCTTTGTTAACACTACAATAAAGGACTCTAATGTTATAAAGTTCTTTAAGGGAACAGAAAAGTTGGCTAGTGTAAAGGGATACAAGATATGGTGCTTATACATACACAGTGTGCTTACTACCATAATGCTCTCAGATCATCTAGAGCACAATCCCCCTTCCTCTAATAACACTGGCATATATACAGGCAATGTTTTGTATTATTGTATAACAAAAATAATAACTGATACAATTTATACAAACTTCACAATATATACAAGTATTAGAAGTCTCATAAAGGTGCTTTCTGAATGATACAATGTTCAAACAATGATGACACATGTTATAGACATATCTATGTTGTTTACAGTTAAAGAGTATGTATTACAGTTTGATAAGACATTAGACAACATTGAACAAATCTACAGACAGTTGTCTATACATAATAAAGCCCCTAATAACAATACATACATCTTAGTGATTAACCTTACTACTCCTTGTGAGTATAGATGGGTAGTAACAATGCTAGACAGGCAGATTACTCATTATAGTCAACTACTAATAGTTACAGTAGCTCAGAAAGATGTTCTAATGCTAGCTAAGTTAATACACAAATTGCAAAACACATATACTAAGTATCATTCTTAGTACTCCTAAACAAAACAAGATACTAAACAAGACAGCCTACAAACAAAAGGTAAAAGTGTAGCAAAAGGCAAAACAAAGCCTTACAGTAAAGTTAAATGCTACAATTGTAATAAGTATGAGCATATGTTAAAAGACTGCCAAAATCCCTCAATAAACAAAACAATAGAAGCTTGAAAGAAAAAGTATAGGTAAACAGCTACTACTTCTACTACTACTACTATGTTGTCTCAACCTGCACTTACTACACAGTATTCATTAGAGACAATAACAAAACAGCATTTATTAAAGATATTAATGAAATACTAATGCTAGAGTCTGTAATTGTAGAAGCCTTAGTATTAAACTCTAGTAGTTTACCTGTTCTATCTGCTCTATCTGCTGAATCTGCTGAATCTACTGAATCTGACATATTCTTAGCATTTAAAGTACAAGAGGATAGTGTTATACAAGTAGACAACTTTATAAACTCATTTGACAATACAAAAGAAGTCATTAAGGACTTTAAGTACAATCCAAATGTATGTATCAATATAATACATTATAATAATACTGAACTAATACATTGTGTTAATATATTAGACTCTAGCACAAACATACACACTACTCTATACTTGTTCTGTCTTACAAATGTCTGAAACTTGACTCTAATAAACATTATGATTACAAATAAATTGTCATTCACACTGTTATGGACTATATTTCTGTACAGGAATTACACCTCTTGTTGTAGGTTTACAGGCAACAGGCAGGTCCTTAACTATGTAACTGCTAGTCCTGAGTGTAGCCTCTGTCTTTGCTCAACTAGGAATATGTCCTTAAGAGTGTTGATAGTACTTACACTTAGCAGAGGGGGAGTTAATGCCCCTGAGAGTAGTTTAACATGTTTTGGGTTCAAGGTAAAGAGGGTAGTATTGTTTGTGTAAAGATTTATATAAGAGAGCAAGTATGTTGTTACAGCTAGTTCACAAGCTGTCCTTGAATAAACTGTTATTAAGTATGATGCTCTTTACACAATAAATGAAGCTCTTTTTATACTACTTTAATTAAGATTTATTCTCCTATTTCTTTGTGAGCTGAGTGGTTCTGTTCTTTGGACAGTCTGTGTGCTATGTTGTAGTATTTTTAATATGTCACTGTATGTCTTTACAATGTGTATTAGTGTTTTTGTATGTTTGAGACATTAGTTGTTTCTGTTTTAGGATAAGGATCAATGTTGAGTCTTTCCTACTACATGCTTCTTACACAGCTTTCTCATTTGATTCCTCAGGAGTGCTTCTTTTCCTTGGCTAAGTTTAATTAGCCTTTCTTGTGATTAGTACTATTAATTCTGAGTTCTGGGTGGCTCTGTCATTGAGCACCTGTATAGTATAATAAGTTTTGTATAAGGCTTGCCTGCCTTTCACCATTTGTTGAGCACATAAGGGTCTTCAGATCTGAGTTCTATAGATCTAAGGTGTTTGTGTTCTTATAGTATTATTGGACAGTGATCTCTGTATATTACTTTAATATTGTATTGTTTTGTTAGTCCTTCACAATGACTGGTTGTTAATACAGTACAACTGTGTGTTTTATCATCTTAGATAGTACTCTATATTGAGGCAAATATTTGTACTGTATTTTCTTCATAATCTTAGTATGTCTTTATTGATAAATGTAATTGTACTGCTTTGCATTCTTCATGTATTGTTGGGTTGTATATTTTGTGTATATACATTTTGAATGATGCTTCCTTCCTTCTGTGTTTTATTCCTTCATGTATAATATGTTGTATTCAGTGTTGTGGTTGATTGAATAGTATTCAGTATGCTACTACTTGCATTGTGTTTCTTTCTGTTTGTATACTTTGTGTTTTGTAGATTTGCCTATCCTGGCACATTTGATATGTTATTATTGTTTGTACACATTCTTGAAGTTGTGTCACATGATTACATTTCTGGCATAGTCTCTGTGTGCTTTATAGTAAAGTCTGGTTTTCTTCATTATGTACTATTACAAATCCTTCTGAATCCTTTCACTACCCCCTCTTCAAGTGATTAACTAATGTTGATCACCTAATAAGGATGGATTTGTAGTTGTGAGTAAAGATGTTTGATTTTTTACAAATTGTTACTTCTCCCATTACTTCTGAGATAATGCATATTATTTAGAATACTTTGTTTGGATGTTAGCCCTAGTAGTACAGTTGGTAAAGTCTTTACAACAGCTTTAGAGTGTCATTATACATTTGTGGATTCTATTTCTGTCTGTTAGTCTACTTACCCTAATAGGGATAGCTATTACAACAGTAGAAGTAGTTCTGCACAGGTGAGAGTAGTGTGAGCCTTATACAGTAAGTATTTAGTGTCAATCTTGCCTTTAAGGTATACTAACACAGCTAGTAAGCTGTAAAGTTTCCAATTAGGGATGCTCCTGTGTTTGAGTCCTTGTCTAGGCTTGAATGTAATGAATATTATGGACAATACAATGCTAGAGTTCTGACAATTCTTAGTTGAGACTGTGGTTACAGTTCAGGTTCTAGATAGAGTGTACTGTAGTTCTGTATAGAATATACTCTTGACTCCTAGATTCAGTATGTTGTAGGAATGGTGATATTATGGTTGCTTGTTGTATGTCTTGATATAGCAAGTAGTAGTAATTTCTACTTTCATACAACTGATGGATTTGAGATTGTAGTGATCCTAATACAAGAATTGAGGGGAATTCCATTTAGGATTGCTCTAGTGATTGTATTTCAAAGCTGTTTATTTTGTAAGAATTCTTGAAATTATCCCTTATAAATGATTTCTTTTTTGTATATGCTAATTTGTAAGTTTATTTCTAAGAGACTTTTGTACTTATGATACTCATACTTATAGTATTTTGCAAAGTATTAGGTACCATTAGTTATTGAAACCCTTCTGAAACAAACTTGACAAATCTACAACAACAAAAGACTTTTTATAATAATGGTTCTTTTTGTTCTTTTTATTGTAGTACTGTAGGTAATAGAATAATAAATGAATGTAGAGTTTCTAGCATTCTAATATCCTGCTCTAGCTGTTATACTGTAAGTAGTACACTCATTAGCAGGGGTAGGATTTGTAGTAATAAAGTGTATAGTAGTGCTAGTGTATGTAGAGTCATTTCTTGTTTGCTTTCCAGTTCTAGGTCCAAATCCTGTATTTCTGTAATTAAAGGACTTCATGTGTTTAGTAGTGGTAGCTAAGGTGGTTGAATGAGTGGATGAGTATTGTACCATTTTTGAATAATGTCTTGAATCATAGTAGTGTAATAGTTGTGTACATACTAGTATATGGCTGTTGTATCTTAAATGTATTTGTTATAGTAGAGTATTTTGTGTGTTACAGTTTGGGTTACTTGTACACTAGTCATATGTAAGGCTATGAATGTACCAAATTGCAGCCTGAACAATGTGATTTGCTGAGCAGTGTAAGTAATCTTAAAGCAAACCTTTATACTATAGGCATGGTTGATGTTAAGGATATTTCAGTACTACAAGTAGTGGCTGAGTTTGTATGTAAGGCACAAGAATTCTGATTCCTCTACTGTGTTTAATGTCACTACCCATTCAATAGTGAATTGAAAATGTTCTCCTTTAATTTAGGGGGCTAACAGGTATTAGTATCATAGTATTGATATTATACTATATACTACTGTAAAATCGTTGAATTCCTGTTCATAGTATTGCCCTGTGTGGTTTGTTATGTAGTTTCAGCCTAGTAGACAGAGATAGGTTTGATTAGGTTATTAGTATTAGAGATA